TATATTGCACTTTACAACACATTTAGAACGTTTTAGGAACTCAGTTACACAGCTGCAAACAAAACGTTCTAAATGTGTTATAAAGTGCAATATACAAATGTGACACTAGATGGTGACAGTTAGCTATGTCAAACTCAATGTATTTTTCAAAACTTTTTTTTAAAGCATTTTCACAGCATTTTATATATATATGTGTAGATTCCACCTAGGAGGTTTCCTGCAGCAAATAGCTGCCCTTGGGCAATGAAAATGGAGATAGAGCACTTCGGCATGTGCTTCCCTTCTTGCTTGTTTAGTTAGACCTAACATGAATGCCTGAATAGGACCATACAGCTTGCATAATTCAGCTTTTCTAGGCACAGGTTTTGGGTTACCTTGACCAGATTTTTGTTGTTGTTGTACTTTGAACACAGAGCTGTGGCAGAAAGCCTAGGGATAGGTGGTGACAAGGGAGGAAAGGTGATGCATTTGCATGAAATGAAAAGTATTTTGTATGGAGAAACAAAGGCACATAAGAAATTACTCCAGGTTTTCTAAACACTGCTCCTCTCTTCTAGCCAAGGCTTCCTTCTATCATTTGAAACAACTCTTTTATTCCCTGGTTTTTGAGGTGTCATTTTGAAAATGGAATACAAAAGCAAATAAAACAGTCCCACAACAAATAAGCACATTTCTAGTAAAACACATTCTGGACCTGGTGTTCTATTTTTGCTCAACTGCGAGGGATTTTTTTCTTTGTTTTCAGAGTATAGCAAGGTTGTCTCTGTAATTCACAAAGCACCAGAAGAAGAATGGAAAGCAGCTAATGTCACTACTAACATAATTATTTGGTATTTAATGTTCCCTCTCCAAGGCTAATATTGGCTTAAGTGTACTGTGACACTAGGTAAAGGAATTCATAGTTTCATTCTGGGGGCTTGACTGGGTTTACTTCCCCGCAATGTGTGTGGAAACACACAAAGTTGACCCTATGCATTTCAATTTATTATCACAAACATCCGACTTGCTTGGTTCTGTATCTTTCTTAGCCATCGTATGTAGAATTTAGAAGACATATTTGTAATGTTCAGATAAGCAACATAGTTGAACCTCCATAGCAAAGTAGTGGGATGGTGGCATTCATGTGGGCCACAATAAGCTGCTGCTGCTTACCAGGAGGGGATGACACAGCAGCGAGTTTACCATTGTGCAACGGCACTAGCAGGAGCATCACATTGGCACAGGACCAACTTCCCTGTTGCCCAGTGCCTCCCACTTTCCCTCCCAGCAAGCAACAGCGACTCAGACGTTTCCTATAAAAATAAATAAATTATCTCCTATATTTCTATGCTGCCTTCCAGGACAAGCCGTCCCAAAATGGCTTACGCACATGATTAAAAACATGTCCATCATGCAAGGGAAGTGTGATGGGCTCAGGAACTAATGGTTCCTGGGCCATCTCAGTCGCTCTCACCTCCAGAACGTTTGTGTGTTGGCAGCAGGAAACCTGCTTACCCAGAAGAGCTAGGTGGAGGGACACCCTCTGCCCAATTCGAACTTCACCTAACCTGGAGCCAGAGGGATTTCCCTTCTTATTGAATGTTGACGGAGGAAAACTTTTAGTACTATGTATGGTTATACAGTGGTACTTTGGGTTCCAGACGCTTCAGGTTACAGACGCTGCTAACCCAGAAATAGTACCTCGGGTTAAGAACTTTGCTTCAGGATGCAGGCTATGACTCAGATGAGACAGAACCAACAAAATTTAAAATTTAGAGGGATCCCAGAGGACCCAAACGAGAATATAAGATCTAAAATGGTGAAAGAGTTGGCAATTTGGTTAGATAGGAAGGAGGAAGAGATAAGCTTCTCCCTAGCAAATATATTTCGGATAAAAACAAAATCGGCTAAAGCTAGGGGGAAAAAATTGCCAGGAGATGTAATAGCCATGTTTAACTCGTTGGATATGAGGAACGAAGTATTGAAACAGAATTATAGTAAAAGGTTATATATTGAAGGAAACCCAATTATTGTATTTAAAGAGATCCCTTCGAGATTTCTTCGAAGGAGGGATGTGTATAAAAAATTAACTAACCAACTGAAGAAAAATGGGATCCTATATAGATGGGAGTTTCCGGAAGGAATTTCATTTTACTTTAAGGATAAAAGATTCAAACTGTCCAGCCCTTCAGAACTTGAAAAATTTGCAAGAAGATACGAGAAGGAACTTGGAAGGGTTGCGGGGTGGGGGGAGGGAGGGGAGCGGGCGGGGGCGGGGGGAGTGAAGAGGAAGAGAGAGAGATAAACTTAACAGAAGCGAGGGAAGAGGAAGAGAAAGAAGACAAAGAACAGCAGCTTTAAGCCAGATTTGATAATTTACTAATTGTACATAATAGATGGCTTTAAAAATACTGTCTTGGAACGTGAACGGACTTAACAATAAAAATAAAAGGAACCAGATTACACATATTTTATTAAAAAGAACCTTGACATAATCTGTCTACAAGAGACTCATGTAATAAGAAAACATAAGAGAATTCTGAATAATAAGAAACTAGGGTTGGATTTTGCGGCATCGGACAAGGTTAAGAAAAGAGGTGTGGTACTATATATAAAGGAAAAATTAGACCCAAAAATACTGTATAAAGACGAGCAAGGGAGAATGATAGTAGTACAGATTGTATTCCAAGGAATAAAAATAATTGTCGCCGGAATATACGCACCTAACGATAAAAATCGGCTTTCTTCTTAGAATTAGGTAATAAGTTATTAGAATGGATCGATCAAAAATGATATTGATGGGCGATTTTAACGGAGTGGTGTCACCAAATTTGGATAGGTCAACAAAAAGCAAGAGACAAAGGAAGGCAAGCTACCTCGAACGTTTTTGATTTGGTTGATAATATGGGACTAATTGACGCCTGGAGATTTAAAAACCCCACTATAAAACAATATACCTTTTTCTCAAACCCAAATCAGAGTTGGGGGAGAATAGATAATATCTGGATCTCGAAGGAGCTGACACAGAACTTAGCTAAATCTGAAATACTCCCACAAACTATATCTGACCATAATCCGGTATTTATGGAGATAAAGGGTAAAGATACTAGAGTATTTAGATGGAGAATGAATGAAGGTATATTTAATAATCAAAAGATAGTAAGGGAGGCGAAAGAAACAATCGAAGAATACTTCAAGTGGAACTTACACAAAGAAACAGCTATAGAAACGGTCTGGGATGCAGGAAAAGCCGTTATGAGGGGCTTCCTAATTCAGAAAAACAGCCATTTAAGAAAAGAAAAAGAGAAAAAAAGAGAAGAGATTCTAACACAGCTTATGGAGAATGAAAGACAACTAGCTACTAAACCAGGTGACGAGACAATAAAGCAAAATTTAAAAATATTACAAGCCCAATTTTCTATGATAGTTAACCAGGAAATTGAGTGGAAAATTAAAATGATGAAACAAAAGAACTTTGAATCAGCTAATAAAATAGGAAAATTCTTGGCGTGGCAAATAAGAGAAAGGAAAAACAAAATACGATCTGCAAGATAAGGGATGGAGAAAGGATAGTGGAAGAGCCAAAAGAAATAAAAAGGATATTTCAGACGTATTATAAGGAACTGTATAAAAGAGGAAAGGAAATAGATTATGAAATAGACCGATACCTGGAAGATCACCATTTACAACAGATTGCCATAGAAGAGAAAGAGTTATTAGACCAGAGGATTACAGAAGATGAGATAAGGAAGGCAATAAAAAGATGAAAATTGGGAAAGCGCCAGGTCGGATGGCCTACCAGCCAAGTACTATAAAACATTAAGTGAGCAATTATGCCCAATTCTATGTGAAGTGATGAATAATATTTTAAAAGAGGGAAGGATTCTGAATACCTGGAAGGAAGCATATATTACTTTAATACCTAAAAAGATGTGGATGCCTTAGAGGTGAAGAACTATAGGCCGATTTCGTTATTAAATAACGATTATAAACTGTTTACGGATATAATGGCAGAAAGACTAAAAAGGGTATTAAAAATAGAATTCATAAAGATCAAACGGGCTTCCTACCAGGAAGACAACTAAAGGATAACGTAAGAAATTTGATAGATATTATTGAATACCTGGAAACTAGAATAGATAAACAGGCGGCCTTGATATTTATCGATGCGGAGAAGGCATTCGATAATGTCTCTTGGCGCTTTCTGATGGAAAATTTGAAAAGGATGGGGATGGGAGAAAGATTCAGAAAAGGTATAGAGGCTATCTATCATGAGCAAAAGGCAAAACTTATAATAAATAATACTACATCAGAATTTTTTGATATTTCTAAAGGGACGAGGCAAGGCTGCCCTCTGTCCCCCCTATTATTTATCTTAGTATTGGAAGTACTTACTAAGAGGCTGAGGGATACAGCAGAGGTTAAAGGAGTCAGGGTAGGAACTAAGGAACACAAAATTAAAGCTTTTGCGGATGACATTGCTCTAACATTAGAAGATCCAAAGCACAGTGTAAAAGAAGCCCTACAAAAATTGAAGAGTTTGGTGCTGTGGCAGGCTTTAAGGTCAATAAGAATAAGACTAAAATACTGACTAAAAATGTATCTAAAGAAGATATAGTAGACCTAGAACAAAAAACCGGAATTATGACGGCAAAGAAGGTGAAGTACCTTGGAGTCTGGATTACGGCTAAGAACATCAATCTATATAAGGATAACTATGAGGTCACCTGGAAGAACATTAAGAAAGACTTAGAAATCTGGGAGAGAATGAGATTATCTTTTTTGGGGAGGATAGCGGTTATTAAAATGAACGTTTTGCCTAGAATGTTATTTTTATTTCAAACCATCCCGGTACTTAAAGGTTTAAAGCAATGTAAAGAATGGCAAAGAGCCTTGGCGAGATACATCTGGCAGGGAAAAAGACCGCGAATAAAAATGAAAATACTGGTAGATAAAAAAGAAAGAGGGGGTTTCTCCTTCCGGACTTATGTTTATACTATGAGGCGGCGTGTTTATCGTGGTTGAAAGACTGGATAACGCTAGAAAACAGAGACATCTTGGATCTTGAAGGCTTCGATAACAGGTACGGGTGGCACTCGTACCTGTGGTATGAAAAGGTGAAAGTACATAGAGGCTTTTTAAACCATATTTTTAGAGGGCCAATATTCCAAGTATGGGAAAGAAATAAAAACCTATTGGAAAGGAAGACACCCTGGTGGATCTCACCAACAGAGGTGTTAACGGTCAAAAAAGTTAATATGGAAGGGAAGAATCCTACCTATGAAGAACTGACTAGGAAAACGGATCAAGGTATAAAACTTAGACCCTATGAAGAGATTAAAAACTCATTTACTGGGTGGTTGCAATACCACCAGGTAAATGACCTGTTAAAAGAAGATAAAAAGAAAATAGGATTCGAAGATAAAAAATCCAAATTCAATGTGGAAGTTGTTGAAGGAAAGAACAAAATACTGTCTAGAATATACGATATTTTACTGGAGTGGTATACAAAAGACGAGGAGGTGAAGGACGTTATGACTAAGTGGGCAATAGACATCGGCTATAACATCGATTTTGAGAGATGGCTAGAATTATGGAATACTAACATGAAGTTCACGGCATGTATGGCATTAAGGGAAAATATGTGGAAAATGATATTTAGGTGGTACCTCACACCAGTGAAACTGGCTAAGATCTATAGGTTAAAGAACAAAAGATGTTGGAAATGTGGAGAAGTAGATGGTGACTTCTACCATATGTGGTGGTTATGCAGCAAAGTGAAAGGCTTTTGGGAATCGATTTATAACGAGCTTAAAAAATTTTTTAAATACACGTTTCCCAAAAACCCGAAGCCTTTCTGCTAGGAATGACAGGTAAAGAAATCAAAAAGAAGATAAGGTACTATTTTTATATGCCACAACAGCCGCAAGAATCATGTTAGCACAAAATTGGAAAACGGACGCCATACCTAATGTAAGTGATTGGCAGATTAAATTAACAAATTATGCCGAGCTCGCTAGAATAACAGGAAGAATAAGAGATCAAGATGAACAGAAATTTCATGATAACTGGATTAAATATTGGATATATATTGGGACTAAACTTTAAACGACACTGGCGGGATTGGAATAACTCTAACAGTAAAAGGTTATTATGTAAAAGAGATAAAATACGTGAATATAAAGTCTATTTGATACTTACCAAAGGAGTGGAAGGAAGTTCAAGGCTTGGCAGAGCCTAAAATAAATGTATTTATGATTTATGGAATGAATATATTATGTGTAATTTAAGTATTGGACTTTGTATAAGTTTATATGTATATATGTATAATACCAATAAAAATTTATCAGTAAAAAAAAGAACTTTGCTTCAGGATGAGAACAGAAATCGCGCGGTGGCGGCGGGAGGCCCCATTAGCTAAAGTGGTGCTTCAGGTAAAGAACAGTTTCAGGTTAAGAACGGACCTCCGGAAAGAATTTTCTTAACCCGAGGTACCACTGTATTGGTTTTGTCCATTTTATAGTATCTTTCTGTTGTCTGGTTTATAGCATCTTTTGTTTTATAGTATCTTTTTATTGCTTTTGTCTGTTTTATATTTATCCTTTGCCCTGCATGCTAAGACAGGCTCTGGTGGATTGAGCCGAGGAGACCAATAGTGGGTCCAAGGGTCAAGAAGGCGGTTTCTGTGCATGCTGTAGAGGGAAGTCAGGAGCAGATGGGGCTCGCTAGCCCATTTGAGCGAAGGAGAACTTTGATCCTAAACTTCCGCTGCCGTATGGAGATGGTTGGATGGTGCCTTGTACGCCTCCTTCAGGCAACTACTTCAGCCAAGCTGGCACCAAACATATTGTTCTGCTTTCCATTGGATCACATCAGTGAGGCTGGGGGGGGGGGTCTTGTCATCTGGGCAGCCCAGGACCTCCATACACACTGCCCAGGTTTATGCCCCAGAGAGGTCACTTCGGTGCTATGATTCTCCAGTGATTTTACTTCCCCCGCAAAAGCACACTCCATTGTCTCTCGAGACAGACAGAAGTATCTTTGTGTTTTTAATTCGTAAATTGATTTGAGAATCCTTTTGTAACAAGTAGCAATAATTATTATTATTAATAATAGAGTTCTAAATCCACAAACGAATCGTATGAGACAAGAACTGAGTGGGAGTCAGTGGCTGCCTTTCATTCGCTGAGGTAATTCCTTGGCCCCTTCAGGCCTGTGCTTGAGACGACTGAATCATTTGACTAAATGAAAGAAAATCCCTCTCCCTTCATCCAAAAATGCAGAAAGAGACCGAGAGGGAGAGAGCGAGAGAGTGGCAGAAAGAATGCTTATATGTCCCATGCAGAAAATGGTAGCTGAAAATCAAAGCTACAACTTGGCACAAAATGTAAAACCACATTTCGAGAACCACAAAATGAAAACAGAACGTTTAAATGGGATAAGCTTCTAGCACTCTCCAATGTACAGAAGTATGTTTTCGATTAACTCTAGCTGGGCCTGTTTTTCATGGCTTCACAATTTCCATGAGATCCAAACCATGCCATATAATAATAGATGCCCCGAGAAGAATGCCCCATTTTGAAGAGATTTATAAATATTTGCTTTGGTGAGTTTTAAAGTCCATTCGTTAACCCTACCCCATTTTTTTAAAGGTGTTTACCATGTGAAATCTTGTCTCGAAGCAGCAGAAGAAGAAAACCTTATTTTTCATCTGGATCTTGGTTAAATATAATTTATTTGTGAAAGTCTCTGGATGTGACAGGTTTCTGGAATAGGGAATGTGAAAATATTATTATTAAAATTATTATTTTTGAAGGGAGACCATGTGACATAATAGCACATGCATTGTTTGATCATGAAGTCATTTTCCTGTGCTCTGCTGCAGTGAAGCAATAACTCAAAAGATCTTTGGAAGAGAGCAGGAGCCAATACAAGGGGGTACCCATATTTCTTATCTGGTGTTAGGATCCAAACTACACATCGGGGCCAGGGCTTTCTTTTTATTATCTGCTGCCCAGTCAGCTATTGGCTGAAAGTGGGAGGTCAGTAATATGAGAAAGAAGCTTCATTGGCACTCTACATTTAAAGCTATATCTCACCACTTTAAACAGTGGAGGCTCCCCCCCCCCCCCAAGAATCTTGGTAACCGTAATTTGTTAGGGGTGCTAAGAATTGTTAAGAGACTCCATGTCCCCCCCCCCCAGAAAACTACAATTTCCAGAGTGCTTCAACAATCAATCTCTCTTCCCGAGGAACTCTGGGAGTTGTAGCTCCATGAAGAGAACAGGGGTCTCCTAACAACTCTCAGCATCCTTAACAAACCACAGTTCCCAGGATTCTGTGGCAGAAGCCATGACTGTTTAAAGTGGTACCATAGGGCTTTAAATGGTGACAGAAGAAACTTCCTGTGTCTTTGAATGTGTTTTGATTGTGTGTATTTAATAACTTTCAAAAGATTTTTTTTTAAAAAAACAACTCAGTCAGCTTCTCTTTTAATTCTGACTGTGTGTGCTACTTTTGTTGGTCTTTATGGTTGCTATGGAGTTTTGTTGATTCATTGCGATTATTAGTTATACATGTTAGTCACATTTTTGCACTCAGGTGTCTCAGAGTAACTTACACAACAAAAAATAGACGTCGCAAGACATTAAAACAAGATATTAAAAAGCAATAAATGAAAATGCTCGTCCAAAAATGTGTTTAAAAGAAACAAGTCCTACCTACCCAACCTAAAGGATTTAATTCCATGGGAATTACTCCCAGGTATAGCAGTCGTGTGGAACCTGTGACCATCATCCCTGGCCATATTTGGTCATGCCAGCTGAGATTCATGGGAGTTGGAGTCCAAGAACCTCTGGAGGGCCATGAGTCATGACTTTGTGCAGAAATTGGCAAGGTATTCTCTCCTGTGGCCTTTCCTCTCTGTAATTGCCCCAGTATAAGAGTCAGTAGAAAGTTCATCAGGTTGTGGGGTTTGGATCTCAGATGCAACAAATAAGCATCTTTAGGATAGCTCAGTTGGTTAGAGTGTGGTGCTGATAACACCAAGGTTGCGGGTCCGATGCCTGTATGGTACAGCTGCATATTCAGGTTGAATGAGATGATTCTAAGTACATAAGAAGTCCACAAGACTCTATGATTTTAAGTCCATAAGAAGTCAAAGTGTGAAGATGTGCCAGGAAATCACTGTTTTCATAAAATACAGTCACTGCTTCACAAGGTAGGCTACATGTATCTACCGCACTGAGAAGAATATTAAAGTTGGGCATGTAGGGGTGGAAGAATCTCTATGCCAAGGACACTGACATAGGACATGAATTATACAACCTGTCCAAAATTATCAGACTATATTGGACAGATGTAGAACCTGTGGGGCTCTGGATATTACTGGACTTTGGCTTCCCTCAGGCCCAGCCAGCATGCATGTTGGTCAGTGATGATGCAAGTTGTAGTCTAACAACACCTAGAGAGCTACAAGTTCACCATTCCTGGCATGCTGGAAAACAATTCTCTGTCTTTCATCAGATCAAATACCTGTCAGCTGATGGAAACTGCAGACTAAATTGTGTCTCCGCGATATAGAATTGACTGCACTTTAATTGAGAAATGGGGCCTGTTGCTGTTTTATAGGAAAAACAGAAATAATTCAAAGGGAGCGGAATCCTTGCTGGCCTTCACGTCCATTAGAAAGATGGCATTCAGTACCTGTGAGACAGCTTTAACAGAGATGATCTTCCTTCAAAGCAAAGATGTAACTTCCCTGAGCTTACTTTGTTTGCCTTTTGAACAGAAAGATGCAAGCATAAATGATGTTTAGGGCATATAAGCCTGACACTAGATTCAATTGGATTTTTTTCTCCTTGTGTGTGCTTACTGGGTAGCAGCTGACTCTCTTATTCATTTCATTTAATACTTACTTTGTGTGGAAATGAAAGTAACCCACAGGAAGTCACTCTATTCAATAAATAGCCTACAAGCAATCCATAAAAGTATACTCGATTGTGATTCTTCCAACAGTACTTAGTATTATTATTTAAACGTATTTGCCACTCTCCTTCCAAATAAGCCCTGACCTGCTTACATATAGTTCCTAGGCAGTCACCTACCATCATCACACAGTGACTGGTTTGCTTAGCTTCAGCCAGAAAACTGCCCCAAATGCTTTATGGCCATTCTGTGTGTTAAATTGTGGGTGAACATATCAGACGACACAGCGATTCTTCAAACAGCTCTTGTTTATTCACAGGCCAGAACAGAACTGACTGAAGGGTTCAGCCAACCTGCTTATATATAGAGAGAGCTCCACTACAAAGCAACAGTAACAACTTTCTGAAACTATCCAATCACTGAACATCACTTTCAATTCCTTTTTTGCATATGCGGACCTGAGTGAAAACTATCTACAGTATCCCCCTGCTGGCCCAGGGTGAGAACTTCAGTACATAACACTGTGGGCATTACAGCACCATCAACAGAGTGCTTTCTCCTGTGCATCTGATCTCAACACTGGCATTTACAGGAGCACAACAATGTTCTAGAAGGCATAATATTGTCCATTATGCATATGCACCAATGCGGATTTTCATTCTAAAATGCTAGATCCAGAAAATCCTGGTACAATCTCAAAGAGGCAGCTTGGGAAGGAAAGGAACCATTCCATTTTCTTATTCAGGTCCAAGCAATGTTTGTGATGGCTGCTTTTCATGGCTAGTTAGAAAATTCTTGTCAGAGAGCTATCAGGCTTTGGGGAATCGGCTCCCCACCCCCCCACCCCCAGCCGTAAATGAGCAGATCAAACAAAAGGGAATTCTTACTAGTTAGTTTCTTTAATAAACACAGCAAAGGACAAAATAAAGCATCTAACCAGAATGGTGGTCTCCCAATTAAAGATCAAATCCCCTTCTGTCCCTATTAATCTACGTCACTCCTACGGCTTGTAATCTGAGCTTGTACCCTCTGTGCTTTCTGTTCTGAGACTTCTGTTAACCCTCTCTCTTCCAGTATTTCCACTCCTAACTGTTTCCCATCCAGTATTTCCCAGCTTCTGCCTTCTGAACTGTGTCCCTCTTCAAACCACTGTTCCAAATCTATCCTCTGCTCCTGGGAAGATTCAGGAGCAGGGGGAGGGAGTGGCTCCCACCATTCCTCCTCAGCACAGTCCCTGACAAGAGCACTATTTTGCCTTCATTTTATGTGTGTTCTCTCCCAAGCACGTTCAAGATTCAAGGAAGGCTGGAAAGATCTGCCAAGTTAGGTGTCAAGGGGCTGTCAGGAGAATGGAGGTCTTTCACAGGTCAGGAAAGGGACTCGAGACACAAAATGCAATTAGCTGTTATTCACAAAAATAAAAACACAACAGAGTCCTTCTGGGCTAGTCTCCCCTAGTTGAAGATGTTTCTGGAACTGATGTCTGGCCCCTCCTCCCCTCTCTAGCCTCGTCTGTCTGGACTTCTCCCAAGCAGCCACAGACTGCGACAAGGGGTAGGGCTTCCCCTCTGGGCCTGTGTGCCCCATTGCTCAGCAATGTGCAGGACTGGCTGTCAGTGGAGTTGCCAGTAGAAACAGGATGGCCCAGATGCTAAGCTGCAGAAGCAGCTTCTGCCTCCTCTCTGTCAGAGTCTACACTCACCCTGAGAATCTCGGCACACAGCTTTGTCCTGGAATGGCTTCCTTCTTCTTCACTTTATGCCCTGCATATTTCCTAAATATCATTCTCACCCAAGATATCTGTGTTCATTGATCATGCATGATTTTTTTGTCAGTGCAGGTTTGCTATAATATCTATTAAGAACCCATAAAGTAAATGGATCACACCGTTACGTAACTGTAAACAATGAAACATTTTCTACAGAACATTATATACTTTTGGCCTGAAGCCCCCATTAAAATGAAAATCCCTTTCCTGTGTTTTTTGGTTTTCTTGGCAAAGTCCTCCTCAGCAGTGCAGAAAGTTTAACAAGGCAAAAAGCCAGTTGTTTAATTTCAAGGTCAAAGGTCAACAGCAACATTTGAATTAGTTTTCATCAGTCACTGAGAATGTTTGTGGCCTCTTTTGTGGATTCCTCACCTCCCCATCCCGAAACCTTATTTGTTATTGGTCACTTCAGGATACTTACAGACCATGAAAATGTTTTGCTTTCAGCTCAGCCTCGAAGTACTTCGTGCCAAGCATCACTGAATGTCTGGTCTGGCCATTCAGTGAAATAGGTTTCGCTGAACATGGAAGCAAAAGTTTTATTAAGGTTAAAAAAAATCTATATAGTCCAATAACTTCAGGCCAACATAAACCAGTGAAACTATCCAACTGCGCTGCTCAGTGGTATGGATTGAGATAGAAAACCCGTTGGAATTGCTGTCTAAAGACCTTTTTCTAAAACAGCCAGGAACAATATTTAATCTTTCTCTGTAGCCATTATGCATGAGAAGACTCATGGTGGGGAAATCATACTGGGAATCTGCCTTGTGTATCATCAGAAACCATGGAATTGAGGTCAAATATCAAGAAGATGAAGAGCAAACCAGAGCAATACTCCTTTCCCCCATAAAGGCAATTCCTAGTGTAATCACATCCAATATTACTTCTGGTAACTTTAATCTTGGTCTCAAATGGATGTTTGCCCTCATAGTCAAGCCAGGAAAATGCCAGCTATTCCTAAACAGATAATTGAGCCCATGTTTTGATTTTCCAAACAACACTTGGAAGTTATTTCATTTTTACCATTCACTAATTGTATCGGTTTGTTCCAGAAAAGTATAGCGCACACACACACAAACTTATAATCAAACTTTGGTTCCCTTGAAACCATTCACTCATTCATTATTTGTTTGTGAGCTGCTTTCCCGCAAATGCTCAAAGCAGCTTACAACAAAGAAAACAGAAAAGCATTTCAAAACCAAACAGTGCAAAAGCAATTTCATAACAACATAATAAAACAACACCACAATAGCAAATTACAAAAAAAACCCAACACCATTTCAGTGCTGTAAATGAAACAAGATTACATTACAGCTCCTGGCAAATGCCAAAATAACAAGGGAGTTTAATAGTTTCACCTTTATCCTATCAGTGATAAATCGCCATTAATTGCATATAACCATAATTTCACCTTAATATTGTGATCTTCCAGTATTTTCAGAACTAGCTCAACTGCCCTTAAATCACTCCAGACCATAGCTGTCAACTTTTCCCTTTTCTTGCGAGGAATCCTATTCGGAATAAGGGAATTTCCCTTTAAAAAGGGGGAAAGTTGACAGCAATGCTCCAAACACCATTAGGGCTTCATTTCTGGGATTAGTGCCTGTAACATATTCTTTCACTGACTCCCTGGAAAGTCCAGAACATGCTATTGCAGACCTATCAATGGCATCATTAGGTAAGAAGAAATAACCAGTTAGTCTTACATCATCTCTAATCCCTGTCACCTCTTCAGATTTCGAGAAGAAACTGTTTTCTATCACTACATGCTTTGGTGACTCCTTAGACTGATATCAGTGTAGGGGCTTCTAATCACAGCAGCCTTATTGAGAAGTCCCCATTTATGCACTGAATGTCCTTCGTTTTTAATAAAAGGCAAAATCATCTAGAACATATGCCATGTACGGTTTCTGTGCACTATAGTTTTGTATTTGGTTCCATGGGACTAATATGCTAGAGTGAAGAATTATTCTGTTTACTTGATATAGCTGTAAATAAATGCTGTTTTTACAGAAACCTGTAGGAAGTCCTTTGGTTACATCAGTACCAGCCCATCAGTATCATAAGACCAAGAGGGTATAAATTCTAGAGAAACTCAATGTTGCTATTGTAATCATACAAACGTGGACAAGAAAAAGATAGAGGAGAATGGAGCAGAAAAGGGAACAGATGGGTGAAATCAAGAGGACAGGATGTTGAAGATCTACATTATAGTACAGGTCTGCACTGTATAGAACTCATCTTGAGACAGATCGACAGATCAATAGATAAACAAACATTGTTAAGTCACAGCATGAGAAGGGTAACGAAGTTAATAGTTTAAATCTTTCTGGTATTATCATAGAATCATAGAGTTGGAAGAGACCACAAGGGCCATCGAGT